GCCTGAAATGACCTGCTCCCTGCCTCCCTTTGGCAAAAAACAAAAAAACAAACCCTAGCAGTGGAATTGTGAGCTTCACAGTGCTTTCCAAGTCTAGCTCAGATTCTAGCAATAGTAACCAGCCCCCTCTCCAGCCCCTAGCGGCGGTGGTGTGTTCACCTCTGCATTTCCCTTCCCTGGTGCTTGAGTAGATGAGGGAGAATTTTATAGTGGTTACAAGTCCAGCCTGTGGAGTGAGGCTGCCTAGGTTCAAATCCCAGCAGTAAGACCCTGGACAAGTCACTTAACCTGTCTGAGCCTGAGTTTCCTCATCCGTGTAACGGGCATAGTAATGGCACCTAACTCCCATTTCTGAAGATTAAATGAGCCAGTGAACACGAGGCACAGTGAATGGCTCCTGACACAGTGAGAGCTGGAGGCATGTTTGCTCTTGTCATCTCTTCCCCTCACTAGACTGTGAGCACCCAGAGGACAGGTCTGCATCTGACTCCTGTCTGCAGACCCAGCACCCAGATGGAGGCGGACACACAGTAGGTGCTCAACAAATGAGGAAATGAAGGAATCAGTGGCTCTGGGGAGAGGTGGCAGGTTCAATGGACTCAGCCTGATCCCGAGTGTGGGAAAGAGATGGAGAGAATGTTATGGCCCAGGAAGGAGTCCCCAGCAGGTGGACTCTAGTGAAGAGAGGGATGAGACCCCCATTCGATCTCCTAGGAGAGAACCCATCCCCAAGGTAAACCAGAAAACCCAACCTTCCCCTCCACATGGATCCCACACAAATCCGTCCCAAATCCTCCATCGTATTCATTCAACAAATCTACGCTCTCAGCACTGTGTGTGGAATTGTGCTGGGTGCCAAGGACACAGCGATGAATAAAAGCAGAGCTAGCCTGTGTCCTCATGTTACATACAGCCTAGAAGAGGAAAACGGGAGGAAACAAGTAAACATATTACCAAATATGATGGAGTTTCTGAAGCGCCCTCAGCGTGCAGATTTACAGAGCAGGGTTGACTTGGAGAGGCAGTCAGGGCGGCAATGGAAGAGGGATGATGGTGTCACTAGCTGGAAGGGTCTCCAAAGCCAGACATCTCCGTGCCAACCTTGATTCCTCTCCCCATCTCTCCCCACATCCCAAGTCTTTCTAGAGATAAGAGTTCAAGGTTGGGCAGCCAGACAGTAGGCTCTGGATGGGCCCATGAGTCCTGGAGAGAGTTCTTCAGTACCTTGGACAGCTGGTGGAGAGGGTCCATCTGGCTCTTCTGTGATAGGCTGAGCTCCTCTGGGGTCAAGAACGTCAGTACCAGCTGCCTGCCCACCCTCACTAATTCCCCTACTGGCTTTGGAGCACCTTGGACAAGTCACCTCCCCTGTGATCACCCCCATTTCTCTGCACATCTGTGATGCCGCTCTTGGTCTTGAAGGACCCTTCCAACCCACTGAATCCATTTTGGAACAGTGGATGTGATTTCACACAATTCAGCAGAGCTGAGAGCTGATCTCCCGGGATCTTGGTGCCTTAGAGAGAGTTTGAGACAGTGATTTCCCACTGAGGGATTGAGATGTTAGGACTGGAAGAGGCTGAATGTTAAAAAACTTCATGTTTGATATTTGGACCAAAAATGGAAGATAAATCACATCTTCTGAGAACCTCCTATGGGCTGAATACTCTGCTAAGCCTGGGAGGTTCCCAGGGAATTTGAAGCACAGTACTTGCTGCCAACCCTCTGAGTGAGACCTTGGATAGATCTCTTCCCACCTCTGGGCCTTGGCCACCTCATCTGTGAAGAGAGGTGGTTGAACCCAAACCCCCTCTGTACTGGCATTTTTAAATTTTCACATCTCTCTGATGTCACATAATGAAAGGCTTCTAGCAGGGGGCCTGCAGGGTCTGCTGACTCCTTTGTAACTAACATCCATTTGCGGGCCCAGAGAGGTGAAGTTACTTGTCAAAAGTCACACAGCTTTAAAAAAAAATAGGTTCACTCAGCTTGTCATTGGTGGAGCCTGGATTTGAACCTTTGACTATCAGACTCCAAGTACAGTTCCCTGCCCTGAGTCTGTACCCAAAGGAGGAGAGGCTAGCAAAGAGACTCTCAAACGCACAGAATCTCAGGGAAGGTGGGCCGAGCACATGCCTCCAGCTCAGGGATCGCTCCTCCTCCTCCCGCATGGTTTCTTCATTTGTTACAAAAAGTCAGCTCAGGACATGCTCTGTGCCCAGCCAGGTGCTGGGGGCTGCGGGATCCGGGATGAAGCAGACCCAGTCCCTGACGGCACTGAGTCCCCAGGTTAGCTGGGGAGACCCCGGAGTCATGGGACAAAGACGCCGGCCGGGAAGTAGTCAGAGGTCAGAAGTGGCCTCCTGTGGGCTGAGTCGAGCCTGAGAGATGCTGTTTGGCCCACAGACGGTTTTAAATGCTTTAATAGCCTTAGTTGTCATCATTTAAAAGCCAGGAGATTTGATTTCAAAATCCCAATTTTCAGTTTCTCTGATCATTTTGGGAGACCCAAGCCCACATTCCCCACGGCAACAGTTAACCAAAGCTGAGGAAAGGCTGCTTCTGGCCACTTCACCCAATTATGTCATTTGCTTGGGCCAGTAGGCATTTTGAGGTGGGATTCTCTGATTTATAGCATACGGCTTTTCCTTTTTTCCTGGCTGGTGACTGGCCCCAAAGTAAAGGAACCAGGAGAAGGGAAGTGAGTGAGGAGTCGTGGTGGGCTGGTGGGGTGTATGGTGAGGTCAGGGCTCCCCTCACTGTAAATGGCTCTGGGCCCCAAGCCCCTCCTGGGAGGCTAGAGAAGGGAGGAGGACCCCAGTCATCAGCGAATTGACCTGATTTTGACTCACAGAAGTCATTTAGAAAAACAATCAAGGCTTTCTGTGCACCAAATATTTGCTTTTAGATTTAAAAAAAAATCCCAACACCTATATCTTGGCAGCAGGCACTTACAAAGAATGCAACTGTTTCAGTGACTGGGGCCAAAACAAACATTTTTCCTGAGGCCAAACGATTCCAGAATGTTTGGCAAATGTTTCCCACCCCCTTTTAAAATATAGTAAAATTAGCAAAGCACCAACATTAAAGAATATTAAAAATAGAAGAAACGCCAAAGGAAAAAAAAATCACGCGTGCACACTCCCCACCATTGGTACAAACGTCCCCATCTTTGCCTGTTCCCTTCCAGCCTTTGTTATGGGGAAGAATCTCCCAATAGTCAGAGCTACTTTGGGGGTGGAGGAAGAGTGATGAGCCGTCTGTCCTTGGAGGAGTGCAAGCAGCCTTCAGCAGGAATTCCCACCTCAAGGGGCTTGCTCTGAAGGATGTCTGACCCTAAAGGATGAGAAGTATATCTGAGCATCCTTTAGAGCTCGGAGGGGGAAGCAAACGAGCAGAGAACACATTTCTTTTAATGCTGAAGTTTCGAATCAGGAAGAAATTGATTCAACCCAGCAGGCCTGTAGCTGTGAATCCTAAGGCAGGGGCTTATGTTGGCTGAGTCTCAGTTTCCTCATCTGTAAAATGGGCTCAGGCTTGCGAGGACAGAACCTAGCAGGGTGTGTAGACTATAAGCACTCTGTCGCTGTTAGTTTTCCTCTTTGCCCTTTGAGCCAGTCCCACCCACCATGCCACGCAGTCTCTCCTCCCCGTGATCCCCTTTGTTCTTATCTTTCTGGCTCCATTGATTCACCATGGAATATTCTCCAGGGGTTGAGCCATTTCTCTGCTGGGCTGTCTAATGCTGGGGGGGCTGCTGACAGAGCACCACTTGGAGTGGATGCTCCAAGAGAGGGAGACCCCTGAGGCTGGAGAGAGGATGTCCGGAGGGCTTCCTGTAGGAGGAGAAACTTGAGCTGGGCTTTGAGTGTTCAATTCAGCAGTAGGTACAAGGGCATTTTAGGCAGGTCCCAGCTTGGAGATGGAAATGGGTCTGGTGTGTTAGGAAGACATGAAGGAGGTGCTTGGGTGAAGGCAGGGGAGCGAGCTTCCGAGAATCAAGAACAGAAGAGTGAGCATGTTGGATCAGTCGAGCCTCCCAGCCCCTGTGCTTGCCCAGGCCGTCAAGAGCAGAGGGCCGTAGTGGGAGGCGGTAGAGTCTCTGCCCCACGTCTCGGCCCAGGGAGCTGCTCAGGGCCAGCTTTGGGACGTCCACGTACTTGCTCGCTGGCCTGAGGTCAAGTACAGTTGGGGCCCAGGAGTCATCTACACTGTTCTCCTTCTAACCCTCCCACAGCTCCTCAAGCACGTGGGAGCCCACAGCGGAGCCCAGGGAAGCCTGACGGGGTGGGTGGCTGGGGGGCAGGTGAGGGTGTGGGTAGGTGAAGGGGGGGATGAAAGGTTGGTGGGTGGATGGCTTGAGTGGGGTGGGTGAAGGTCAGGGCAGGTGGGTGTGCGGGGTTGGTGGTGGGGCAGTGGGGATTGTTGGATGGGTATGTTGGTGAGTTAAGGGGTAGAGACTTGATGAGTTAGTGGATGTGTTGGCAGCTTGGGAAGCAGATGAGTAACCGGATGAGTTGGAGAGCGGCTGGGTGGCCGGATGGGTGGATGTTTCAGGTTACGGGTAGATGTGTGTGTGGGAAGCCAGGCTGGTGGGAGTATTATGGGGTGCTGGGAGGCTGGATGAGGCAATGGTGGGCGTATGGTGTGTTGAGAGGTGGGAGATGCCTGAGTGGGTTCTAGGGCTGTGGCAGGCTCCTGGGGGGATCGTGTGTGAGTGATGGTGGATATCTTGGTGGGTTGGTGAGTGGATGGCAGCGGATACTGGCAGGTGGATGTCTAGGTGTTGGTGGACCGGTGGACAGAGAGGTGGGTGATGGGGGCGTGGCAGAGGTGGAGAGCTGGGTGGGCGGATGGTGATACGGTGAGTGGGACAGTGGGTAGAGAGCTGGGTGCAGCTTGATAGATGGGTGGGTGGGGAGCTGGTGGGCGTCGGTGGGCCGATGGGGTGGGGGTGGAGGAAGGCAGCCGTCGGCACTGACCACACCGTCTCTCTGCAGGATACCAGCCACACATGGGAGATTCCTGGCCCCGGAGCTCTGCACAGGAGGTGCCAGAGCTGAACCGCCAGTGCTGGGTCCTGGGGCATTGGGTGTGACAGCGACCAGCCTGGCTCCAGACCTCGGGCCGTCATCGGCACCAGCCCCCTGCTGCAAGACCACTGGTCTGGCGCCTTTGGAAACCTGGCCTGTGTGGGACACATGTGGCCTGCCCTGCCTGCCGCTGCCTGGGTCTCAGGGTCCTGGAAACAGGGCCAGGGCAGCCAGAGGGACTGCACAGGGCTGCACAGCGTGACTCTGGGACAGCAACTCCTAACTCTCGCCACCGCCACATGCAGAGCCCTGCTGGGTGCAGCTGGGATGCCGGGAGAGACACAGACCTCGGCCACCGAAAACCTGGGACCCACGAGCCAGCCGGGAAGTTCAGGAGGTCCCCAGCGTGCGGAGCCCTGCGGGGGGCAGGGAATGGGTGGGGCTTCCTGAAGGAGGGGCAGTGGCACTGGCACCAGGGGCATCACACAGCAGGCACACAGCAAGGGCTCAATAAATGCTTGTTGAATCTTTCCTTGCCGTGTGTGGAGGCCAGTTGCTCTCTGGGCCGTGGCTGCCCCCTCCTGGCCCCCCCATCAGGTCCCTAAGGAACCTGAAGATGAGATGGCCCTGAGTGAGCTGGTCAGGGCCAGACATTGAAGCATGGGCAGGTGGGGCAAAGTGGGGAACCTGGGGGGTGGGGTCAGGATGGAGCCAGGCTGGCAGGCTGCCTTGGATTCCAGAGGGTGGGCGAGGTGGGGGCCGGGCAGGTGGGAGATTTGGGTGGACAAGAGACAGGCCCTCAAGCCCAGGCGCTAAGCTACCCTGCCTCCCACAGGGACCCTTTACCCTGTGTCTAGAGCCACATTTACATGGAATCTTAAGGCTTAGGTGACTGGGGAAGCATTCCTATTGTGAAGACGAGGGAACCTGGGGTCACAGAGATGATGTAACTTGCCCAAGACCACAGAGCTAGCAAACGGCAGGTGAGGGTTTGAACCAGGACTCCTGACTCCAAGAGGCCTCATCCCTTCCCAGAAGGATTTCTAGAGCTTTCCCTCAAGTAGAGAATGTTTTTCATTCTTTCATAAACCTGTCATCCAACCATCCATCAGCCATTTTCCATCCATCCATCCACCTCTCCAGCCAGCCAGCCAGCCACCCATCCGTTCATCCATTATCCACCCATCAGTGGTCTTTCTTCCTTGTATCAGACGTCCATCCATCGTCCTTTCATGCATCACCCATCCTCATTATTCAACCATCCATCCATCTGTGTATCCATCTATCCAATGATATAATTCATGTGTCCCTACTATGTGCCGAACACTGTGGTAGGCGCTTGAGACAGGACACTGCACCATCCAGAGAGGGCATCTGTCCTCACGGAGCTCACAGGTGGGCAGGACACATAACTAGACAGATGATTATATAGGGCAGTGTGCGAAGTGCTCTGGGACCAGGCAGCCTGGATTCAGATCCCAGCTCCTCCACTTGAGGCCTTGGGCAAGTTACCTGACCTCTCTGTGCCTCAACCCCATGGGCACATGGGGGTCATCAGCACACCTACCTCTTAAAACTATTCTGAGGGTTAAAGGAGGGAATGTATGCGAAGCTTGTAGAACAGAGCCTGGCACACAAACGCTCTGTCGGTGTTTGCTGTTACCTCAATGAGGGGAACTGAGGGGGGGACGCTGCAGGAGCCCAGAGGCCGCACCTGCTTGCTGAGGGGGGGAAGTGGTGGTCAGGGGAGGCTCCTGTGGGAAAATGACATTTAAGCTGAGACGTGAAGTTGTCTAGATGTTGGGCAGGCAAAAATGTTGAGGGGAAGAAAGTTGGGAACATTATAGGAACTTTAAGATAGTCTAGATGGCAGGTGCGGAGAGAAGGGAGAGCAGCGGAGGTGATGAGAAATGTGGCAGCAGAGGTCGGTGGAGCCAGAGGGACTCTGAAGCCTCTTTAGGATGGAGCAGCAGGGGATGCTTTCAGCAGAGTGGGAAGCGCCCAGCTGTGCATTCCAGGAAGGTCCCCGAGATGCGGGAGGACGGCCCGCTTCCTCACCCTCACCACACCTGAAGGGAGAGAAGAGGGTGGGCTGCTTCAGCACGGAGGCCCTGGGATGGGACAGTGAAAGCAGATTCAGGAGCTAGTCAGCAGGCCGATGTGGGGGGAGGAGAGGGGAAAGTCAGCGATGACTCTCAGGTTATGGGCTGCGGGAGGCGGGGGCAGGGTCAGATGTGTTGAGTCTCAGGTGCCTGGGGGACACCAGGTGGAGGTGTGTGCTATTCATTCATTCATTCATGCAGCTGTTAAGTCAGTGATTCATTCATCCAGTAAATATTGCAGACCTACCGTGAGGGGTGGGAGCTGGGTCTGGGACCCAAATAAAAAGGCTTTGAGTGTCAGGACAAGAGGGTCAGGCTTTGGCCTCTGGGCGAGAAAAAACCACAGCAGCAGAGCGAGGCTGGGCAGGGGCGTGTCCAAAGGGAAATCTGGCCCAGGGCCCCTTGGAGCTCTTTATTCTCACCCAGGATCCTTTCAAAGTTACAAGTGGACCACAGAGGTCCGGGAGATGAGTTTCATTGACACATGGGAAAAATTTTAATCTATTTTAATAGTTGTGTTTATGTAAATGTGTATTAGGAAAAAAATGTATAACGGGCACATTAGTGCCATGATTTCACAGACGTTATTGCTTAAGATGAAACCAAAGTAGGCATTTAAGTTCAAAGGAAAAACGTTGGCTTAAAGAAAAATATTAAATAAATAATCGTGGAAGTGGTATGTGATTATGGTACGCGGACGGCTCAAGTGAGGGCCATTCTTACCCTCTGCTCAGGCCAGAGAGGGAGACGGGGAGGAGGGAGGAGGCCCCTGGGACCGCTCAGGCTTCAAGTCCTTTTGGGCACCTGCTGGGCAGCGGGGAGAAGTAGCTGTCTTTCGGTCTCACAGAGGTTGCAGCAAGAAGGCTGCAGGTTAGATTAAAGGAAGCACTTCCAGGCAGGCCAGGTGAGTGATCCCAGTGAGTCCCTACTGAGAGTTACTGGAAGGGTTGTCTTCTTGCAGGGAACAGATGCCACACTGTCTGTCTGAACCTGGGAGGACGAAGGACCACCTGGTTTGAAAGCAGGGGTCCTGGGTGAGCACACACAGGCTTGGATGGGGAGGCAAAGGCGCCCTCCTCCCGCCCCGGCGGACAACTTTCCCAGCTGCATCCCCTGCACTGAGCAGACATGGATAGAATGACCATCCGTCTGTCCATGGATAGAATGGCCGTTGACCTTGGATGTTGACCTTGACCCCCATAGGTTGGCCTGACCCGCAGCCCAGAGTAGTTCTTATGCAGCCTGTTCTGCCCTGGGCACCTGCTCCCAGCCTCCCTGTAGCCACACACCCTGGGCTTGTGTGCACACGCCAACCTCGACATTGTATAAGCTTGAGTTAGCAACTTGTACGTGCACAGCTGCTAACCCACCCTTGCCTGTGTGCTCCCACTGGCCCTGAGCACGCGTTCATGTGGGCACGTGCTGGCCCTGGACACGTAACAGCCCTGGACCTGTGACTGCACATGCCCCGTGCCCTGAAATGAGGCTCTGCCCTCTTGTTTGCTCACGTCACCCCCTTTCTCCCCAGGTGCCCTTGGGGCCATGGTCCTTCCCCTGCCCGGGGGCTAGCGGGCAGGTCCAGGCCTCTGGAGGTCACTGGGCTGACTGCCTTCTTCGGCTGGCGGCTGTGATGAGCCGTCCTCCCCGCCACCAGCACCAAAGCCAACCCATCCTGGCCACACACTCCCTCAGGTAATGGAAGCGTCAACTTGATTCATGGCCATTCCTCTGTGGCAGCCAGGCCTGAGGACAAGGCACGCTGGGAGGCTCACCTCTGGGAAGAGCTGCTGCTTCCAAGGTGCCGACTCCTTGTTTGGGAGGAAGTGGGGACAGAGGAAAGCAGCTGGGGCTGCAGAGTTAGTTCAAATCCTGAGACCACCGCTGGCCTGCATTGGGCCTCATTCATCGAGAACTCTTTGCTGAGGGGCTTCCGTGTGCCAGGTGCTGCGTGTGCACTGGAGCTGCCACGGTGAGTCAGAAAGACACTGACTCTATTCTCATGGAAAGTACATTCCAGGGAGGAGACAGAGATGACTTTAATAATTCTAACAAAAATATCAGTTCAGCTTCTGAGAAGCGCTGTGTAGGCGAACCACGGAAAGACCGGATTTAAACTGCAGGGGTGAGGGCGGGCCTCTCAGAGGAAGGGCCATGGCAACCGGGATTGAAGGATGAGGAAGGAGGCGATGAGGCGGTGTGGGCAGAAGTCACAGCATGTGCAAAGGCCCTGGGGTCGACATGAATGCCGTGTGGTTGTGTGTGACACCGGGACAGTATGCCTGGAGCTCCAGGCGAGGGCATGAGGGCTGCTACGGAGCAGGCGTCTGGGGTCAGAGTGTGTGGGGCCTTGTGGATTACGGCAAGTTTGGCCTTCACCTGGAAGGCCGCAGGGAACCTCTGATAGGAGGGTTTTAAGAGATGGACACATCAGCTCTGCGTTTTGGGAAATTCATCCAGGTCTGGGAGATGGGGTGCAGGGCAGAGGCAGGGTGACCAGAGAGGAGCTGCTGCAGTTCCTGGAGGGAGATGGGGAGGGGGGGAGGGGTGCCTGGATTGGGTTGGCCTTTCTCTGAGCCTCCCTTTGGGGCTTTGATACTGTGCAGGCAGGGATGCTGTAGGCCACATGAGGCCTTCGTGGAAACCAGGAAAGAGTGTCCTCTGAGTGGATGACTTAGAAAAGCTCCTGTCCCCAAAGCACGAGAGATGGGGCCCTGGAGCACACAGCCTGGGAGGCCTGGAGTTTAGCTCCACCCCTCACCCCTCACCCCTCACCCAGGGCCTCTGGGCAGTGAACGAATTACACCGTTGTGCTGGTGGACAGCCCCGCCGTGGGACCGAAGATAAACTCAGCCCAGCTGGACCACCAGTCATGAGGAAAAGCCAGTCTCCTCCGCATGGGGATTTACGGCACAGACAGAAAATCACGGTGCGGGCCCTCTTCCCTGTGCCCGCACAGCCCAGCCCACCATAGCCTGGAAATTGCTTCTCGGGCCACATTTCACCCCGGACTGACGCTGTCTGAGCCTCTGCCTTCGGGGAGGCCGGTGGCTGGGGGATGGCCAGAGGCCTGGCAGGGGAACAGGCAGCGGCCAGGACTGGCCAGGACATTGGGGAGGGAGGGGCCCTGGGACTTGGGGGGCGGGGAGCGGGAAGGGGCCTCTGCCTGGGAGAAGTTCCATGGCATGAGGCCAAGATGGTGAGTCAGTGCACCAAGCCCCCTTCCCTGGACCCTGCTGACCCTCCCCCAGAACTTCCAGGGTGAGTGGGTGGGTGTCAGGGGTGGGAGGTGCAGGCAGGGTGGGTTAGAGAGAGGAGGCGAGGGAGGGGCTCGGAGCAGGGACAAGAGCTGGTGGGGGAGGGGAGAGCACTCACTCTCTAAGGCCAGTGCCCTTTGAGGACGACCAGCTGAGGCTGGAGGGCATCC